TGATAAACAAATCACTGTTCCTATGTGCAAGCAAATCATAATACAAATTTAACTTTAAATATTTTTTATTCTGAAATGTTTTGGCAGTACAAATACACATTTCACATCTTGCCAAGAGAGGACATTACATTTGGAGAAAACAATAAAAACTCAAGCATAGGGTTTGCAAAAAAACAACATTTGGGAGGCTCTGAGAGGCCCATTTCTGCAACATCTCCATCTTTTCAATTCCTCCCTCATTTCATTTCCCACAAAACTGCCACAATTAATGCTTTCCTGATTCTTATGCATGCCAGAACGATTAAGTCTAAAAGCTAACCCAACAAGTTCTGAAATTGGTTTCCAAAATCAAGCAAAACAAACAAACAAACAAAAACTGGAATGCCCTGAAACGCTCTGCCATGTCTTTACCCCTGACACACACACATAAACACTTTTCTCCGGCTTCATGCTGCTCTCGTCTCTCTCTCGCCTGCAGTTTTGCAGCGTTCTATTCCCCTGCCAGCAATAGAAGCGACTTCAATTCCAGCTTTATTGCTGTTCACTGTTATTACACAGAGCGCGAGCAATGTCATCCACAGGACTGATCACATCAGCCCTCCCTTCTTTTCATCTATCCATCCCTCACTCCACCCACTCGCTCATTCGCTTTCTCCATTCAGTCATTTCATTCCTTTACTTTCAAAACCCTTCATCCATACCGGCCAGTTACAATCCACCTATTATTTTCTTGTTTACTTAACTGTTTAAGGTGAGACACCAGTCAATTTGAGATTTTAGCATGTTTGGCTTTTCATAAACTGTTTATTAAGTATATTATTACCAAAACATACAAAATGCACTATCAACTTGGGTAGATTTTTAATATAATCTATATTTTGTGGCTCTTTTCTTGAAATAACTTTCTCCACAGCAGCAGTTTTAATGGAACAAACTTTACAGTTCTATTCATATCTATTTATATTGTAAAGTAGAGCTGCACAATTAATTGTTGCTGATTCCCAATTCGCATACTTGTACTAAGCCCTAAAAGTACAAACCTTTTGTGTAAAGAAACTGAATATATACTTAAAAGTGTGTAACAGAAGAGCATGCAAGCTTTAGGACATACTACTTCCTCGTATACATATCGGTATATTGCTTAGTTTGTCTCCTGTCAATCATCTTGGAACATCAACTACATTTCTATCATGTTTAATTACCTATAAGTCTTTCATAAAGAAAAATCTCCTCAAATATCCTGATTTAAGTTCACATTGTTGTTGCAGATGAAACAAGGAAAACGTTATTTAAATATTTTCCAGTTGGCTAAATATAAATGAGTAGTCATTCAAACAACTTTACTGAAGCCTCTCCACTTGATGGTTGGCCTCATGCATCCGCCTTGTTTGTAGTTTATTTACACTTTTAACCCAAGTTTGTAGTTCTAATCAAATTCACGCCCAACGTGCAATGTACAGCATTGTAAGCAATATTAGCTGTAAGAGTTTGGACAGGTCTACAATTCAAATTTTTACCAGAAATAGTAGACCATAAGGGAACCTTTGGCATACTCTTTTCAACCTACTATGGTTTGGGACATACTAATTTTATTTTTGAATAATATTTAGGATGGATAGTATGTGAATTGGGATGCAGCATTTATTTTTATCATGAGAATGATATTTGTGCCTCATGATCCACAAATAAAAACGGTAGCCTGATCTAACGAGAAAACGTAAGTATTTTACGTTTTGCCAGTTTAGTAGCTAATTTGTTCGAGTTCAGACGTATGAAATTGTACAATTTTAAAAAGGAAGCGTAGCACCTAACCCCACCTCTAAACCCAACCGTCATTGGGGGATGAGCAAATCGTACGAATTAGCCACTAAAAAAAAAAGTTACGAACTGCTGTGAGATTGAGTTGAAAAATTTTTTACAATATTAATGCGTAAAGCATTGGTGTGATTGCATTGTTTAGACTGAGATTGTGAGAGAAATATGCATATCAAATATAAAACTTTACATCTGGCAACACAGTCCGGAGGCGGCACTCGCGCAGTGACTGAGAGTCAGAGAATGAATTTCTTCTGCAACCAGCCAGTATACACAAATTAACAGATTGATTCATCAACATGCAAGATTATAAATAATATAGAAAAAGTTGACCAAAATGTATAATCGTGAACAATGAACTGTAGACAGCTAGCTGCACCATTTGTCATGTTAAAGAGGCACAGTTTTATTTTTACCAGACTAATAAAAACAATGTCAAAGGTGTCAACTGCATACAGTAGTTCCTAGTATAAATGTTATGTGCAGTAAAATACTGAAATAACAAAATAACAACCATGATTATTGATTGTGATTTTGATTATAGAGATTCCTCTCTAAAAACATCTGATTCTAATGTGTCCAAAAAGGAGAGTTTTTAATGTAGCCGGATCAAAAGTTCAGATTTTAGTACAAGCAGTGGCGATTCTTGGCTCTCTGGGTCCCTATGCAAAAGTGGTATTGAAGAGTGGGACAAGGGAGGGGGACGATGCAGACCTTCCACCATTTTGAAGTGGGTGCGTGCATAGAGTGGATCAGTATTGTGTACATGGTATGTATGCAAATTAGCACATGATTAATTAAATAAGTTCTCATTTGCGTATTTAAATAACATTTCAGAAAGTTTTAATACATAAAAAGTTTGCAATTCTTAATGTAATCAATCAACTGGAGATGTGTGGTGATCACTATTAGTCAATTTACCTCACTCAGCCGAGTGTTTTGCCTTTATCTCTGCCTTCAGAAATCATTTGTTTGCTTTTCATTAGTTGCTTTATTGTCCAATCAGACAGGGATGGGCAGTTACAGATTGCTCTATCATCTGACAAACACTGTCAAAATGAACTCGTCGCCTGTATCCCTGGATGCCCTCGCCCATGTACAGGAAATGAACTTCGCATTCTATCTGCCAAAGCTGTTATTGACACGACAACGGCTGCATTACCCAGCTGTTGGGTTTGCTGAAATGGCTTTCTGAGAAGTAGATAAATAAATAACAGCTACCCACGCTCATTTAAGGTGATTAGCTTAATGCACTTGTGCGTCTGGTAATGAGAGAAAATATGCAAGCAAATCAATTTAGCCACCAACAAATGAGTCAATCATTGCCATTTCCAATTAACTCAGGTAATCTGGCCTTATTACGTGAGAGTTATCCCCTACATTGGAATACTTTGAGAAGTAATTAAAATGATAAAAAAAAAAGTGTGAACATTTTCAATCAAGGGTCAAATGGGCCATGATTAAATCCAGTCCAAAACTCTCTTTATATGTTTTTTTAAGCATGCACAAATCAAGATAAATTACACAGCTTACTTTCATTGTTCAATTCATCAATTTGTTTGTTTTATTAATTTGTTTTGCTTGTTTATTCTCATTCTCTGAAAGCTATCCTGGCCTTGAGAAGAATATGTTCCTATTCCACCACAGGTGATACTGATTATAGATGTTTTGTGTGTGCAAAACCACAGGATTGTCCTCCTTGTTTTGAATATCATGTCTGTCTGTATTTTGACCAAGTTTGTAGACTAAATGTCTCACATCAAAAATAGGATAAAAGGACAAAAGAAAAGACGAACAGATGAAAGTAGTAAATGATGAAAGTGAAAAAAAGACTAAATAGCGGAAAGCAAAAGGACAATTGAAAGGCAATTCAGATGAAAGAAAAAAAACAAATGATGAAAATGATGAATGAAACAGATGTATATAAGAAAGAAAGAAAGAAAGAAAGAAGGAAGGAAAGAAAGAAAAAGAATGAAAGAACTATAAATAATTATTTTCAAGTTTTGTAAGACAATATGCATTTGAAATAAAAGTAAAAACAACATTCTTCTCATCCATATAGCACAAAGCACTGTTACAACACCAAATGTTTTCAAGTCTCCAAATCATCCATGTGCTCATATTAATTAAAATCAGTCAAAACCCCCGTCTGTACCAATCTTGAAAATACACCCACTACATTATGCTCTACATTTTGTTCATTTTTCCTTCTTCTTCCTTTTTAAAGAAAGAAACAAACAAAACAAAGGACAAAAGAAAAGAAAGAAAGAAAGAAAAAAAGAAAGAAAGAAAGAAAGAAAGAAAGAAAGAAACAAACAAACAAACAAACAAACAAACAAACGTATAAAAGAAAGGACAATGAAACAGAAGTATAAAAGAAACAAAGAAGAAAGAAAGAAACAAGAAATGTATAAAAGAAAACAACGAAGCAGAAGGATAAAAGAAAGAAACAAAGAGACAAAACATATAAAAGAAAGAAATAAAAAAAGAAGGATATAACAAAAAAAGAAACCAAAAAAACAGAAGGTTAAAAGAAAAACAAAGTAAGAAACAAATATATAAAATAAAGAAAACAAAGAAAAAATAAACAAAGAAACAAACAACAAAAAAGAAAACAATGAAACAGAAGAAATAAACAAAGAAACAAATGTATAGTACAAAGAAAAAGAAACAGAAGGATAAAAAAAGAAAAATAAGAAAGAAAGAAAGAAAGAAAGAAAGAAAGAAAGAAAGAAAGAAAGAAAGAAAGAAAGAAAGAAAGAAAGAAAGAAAGAAAGAAAGAAAGAAAGAATAATGGTGATGAAGTGAAATAAAGAAAAAAATATTTTAAAAAGGACAAAAAGTTTGAAAGAGCAAAAAGAAGAAAAAAAAAACTAAAAAAAAGTATGAAATAAAGAATGAAAACGGATGGGAGAAATGAAAATATAAAAAGCCAGGGATGAAACAAAGAATGAAAAGAATCAACCTGACAGGAACAAGAAGAAATGTCAACTTCGCCAAAAATGACAGCAGCGTAATTAAAACATGAGGTTTATGGAACATCCCCATTTAGATAATCCAACTGTGTGAATGCTTTTACAGTGCAGACTGTTCAGAACACCATGAGCATTTCTAAAACAACCTAATTTTTCACAAAATTCATTTTCATTTCCATCATTTCCATCAATTTCACATAAACAACCCACCTGTAGATCCCAGAGAGGAGGAGCCCGGCAGCTGTAGAACATCTTCAGCCTCTCCGTGACGGGACAGTCCTTCTCACTGAAGAAATCCACCAGAGTCTGAAGGCAAACAAAGTCACATTTAGAGAACTCATTGGTTTTTGTCAATAGCATTTTTCTCATGGCCACAATACGTTATGCTTAAACAATACGAACAAAGCACCCATAAGCAAATTGCACTTTTAGAGAGTTCAAAAACAAATGAATTAAGATAAATGAGAACACTAAAGGATCTCTCGCTGCAGGTATTACAGACCTCCCTTGAACAAAGACATCAATTTAATGAGCTTTTTTTCTTTTTTTTTTACGCGTTTAGTGCTTGTGTTGATATATAGTGCATGAGAAAGCCTTTAAAAAAAACCCTCAGGCAATTAAAATGCAGTGTGGTAAAAACAATTTAAAAACTATTCCAGTGATTCAACCCTTCACATTTAGCTTTGATTTACTGCTCACCACACGGTGCTAAATATATTTTCCTATCAGTAACAAGACGATGAAAAAAAGTGACCTGGAAGCATACAAAAAAACAAAACTCAAGTAACAAATTCCAGAAGTGATGGCAATAACAAAAAGATGTGCCAGCACATGCCAGAATGACAGCATCTTTATTATTATTTAAAAAAACTCTCCTCTGTGAAAAGCTACAGGGTTTGACTGCAGTGTAAACTCAGCTAAAGCATGTGCAGGCCTGCTGTAGAAGACTCTAGATGAACATCAACACGCATTCTGTTCACAAACCAGTGTCCATATTTCAAAAAAAGACAATAAGACAAAACACAATACCACAACGCAGCTGTCTACGACGTACAAACAAAGCCACAAGCCCAAATTAGAAACCGACAGTAATTTCTGAACCGCAAAATAAGGCAGAATTTGGTCACTCCTCTTCAAATCAGTGACCGACACCGCCAGCTGTCAATCATTATAAACATATGGACTGCAACTGGCACTGATAGGAAAGGATGACAGGAAAATGATGCCATACTATATTCCAGCTTGAATATCTCCCTCCAAGATTCTGTAAATAACTTAATGTGGAGCTGATGTCTGCAACATCTGACTTCCAGAACATTCTGGAATCAAGCAGAAGGAAGGGATTTTTTACATATTCCAGAAATTGCATTTCGCAAACTGATGATAGAATTGATGCAATTTTAGCGCTTCAGTCAGGGGTTCACTTAAGAAGAAACTCATTCCAAAATTAAACTTCAGATTGGGAAGATAAAATGGGTTTCTGTGGAGAACACTGTCTGCAGGCACCAGATAACTAATTACTTATTTTAGCATTTGCATTGCTGGAAAATGCCTGAAATGTAGAAATGCTAATCTACCGGTAAAAGGTTGAGAGAGAGAGAGAGCTGGGTTGAAATAAATTTGACCAATTTCTTTGGTTGAATTACACTCCAAACTAATGTTGAACCGTTTGACAAAAGATCAACCAGGAGGTTATACAGTAATCACAGATAAAGAGTTAATACAATGTGATTTGATTTATTTATTTTCGAACAAATATACATAAAATATCATTAACAAAAAATGCATTTCAACATGGTCGAAAATGGAGCGGGATGAAGCACACGCTTATTATTTTCCCACCGCATTACCACATACTTTATTCGTCTATTTCTTAAATTGATTTATTTACTTACCTCTTCTTTTTACATGAGACATATTTTATCACTTTGATATATTATACGTTTCAATCCATTTGTACCTTTACATTTTGTTACATAAACCCAAAGAAAAAAAATACATAGTACTGTGTGCAGAAACATTGATAATACACTGAAAATTAATAACTAAAAGTTTTTATTCATGCATTCATTCCTTTTCTTGTCAGCTTAGTCCCTTTATTAATCCATGGTCGCCACAGCAGAATGAACCGCTAACTTATCCGGCACATTTTTACACAGCGGATGCCCTTCCAGCCGCAACCCATCTCTGGGAAACACACACACACACACACAGACGACAATTTTGCCTACCCAATTCACCTTTACCTGGGGGAAAGCGGAGCACCCGGAGGAAACCCAAGCGAACGCAGGGAGAACATGCAAACTCCACACAGAAACACCAACTGAGTCAAGGTTCGTACCAGTGACCTTCTTGCTGTGAGGAGACAGCACTACCTACTGCTCCACTGTGTCACCCTTGAAAGTTATTAATAACTAATAAAGTTATGGCAGTGCTTAATTTGTAAATAATAATTTCTAGAACAAAACCATGAAATAAAAGTTACCATTTATTTTTTTGTGCAAAACAACGTCACGGGTCAACCATGGATTAAAAAACAAACAAACATAACATAAATCTTTTGAACCATACTGACTCCAAATGACTCACTCCCATCTAATCTTTAAGAAAAGCCCACAGTTACCTCTTCCGTTGTTTTCTGGCTGACTTTTATTGATGCAGTTAACGCCATATGAATTAAAATAAATACTGGAACACAAAACACAAATATCTGACATTTCGTAGAACAGGATCCAGCAAGATCCGGCTCAAATTAAGCTAATAACCTTAACTTTGCCGTATTAGATTGTAATGCAATAATGTGCTACTTTTGTACAGCTGCTTTGAAACAACAATTATTGTGAAAGTGCTATACAATTACACTTGAAAAAGGATTTCACCACTAGAAAAATGTAAACTTTATTTACATATCTTTGTTTAAAGCTTATTTGCTGTTATCTGATACTAATTAAAATAATTGTAGTGAGTTGACTAAATCAAAAACATTCATTTTAAAGAGTGTGCTCTTAAAGTGTATCTATATATTCTTCTTTATTGTGAACAAGTAATTTACAATAAAAAAATATCCATTAATATGCTGAAATATCCATTAAAAAAAGATCCAGTATTCTTTCATGGAGACTTTAAAGTGAAGTTCACAGTCAAGTTTACATTATTTGGTAAATTGGTTTCCATTTTAATGAAAATATATTAAACTCGATTAATGAATCCATTTTGAAGAAAAGGGTATGGTTTACTGTAGTTTTTAGCACAAAGGCGCCGCCATCTAGGAACGTCGCTGTATCTAACGTCACAGTTCCATTCCTTCAGCTGAACATATACAGTGGAAGTAATGGACTGAACACAGAGACAAGACAGCCTAATTTAACCCAATGCGTAAAAGTTGTGGACATGGAGCTGTTGCAAATACAGCCATCAAATTTGTGTCTAATATATAAAAAAATATTTATTTCCAGCACTGCCTGACAAAAGGGATTTACAGACTACTGCAATTATTTAAGCACATGACTTCATGCCTTACTAAGTCAAGTCTTTGTGGATTATGTCAAGACATATTTACTTTTCAAGTTGACACACACAATCTCTCTACATGAATGAAGGACATAAAAACTGCCAGGAGAAAAAAGGCACGATCTTAAGTTTGGTTTGAACATGAATAGAAGTGACGAGTTGTAGTAGTGAAAAATTAAAGTACCCCATGACGTTGGCACCGGACCTTGTTGAAACCATGGTTGAAACCCGGTCAGGCAGCATAATACAGAGAGTGAGCCAAAGTGCATGAAACGATCAGTAATTAAAAGCAGGAAAAAGAAAAATAGAATAAACATATTTTTAATATATTAGACACACACACATCTGATGCTTGTATTTTCACCAGCTCCATGCCCAC